GTGTGTGTGTTGTGCGAGTGAGAGTCTGTGAGTATGAGAGAGGGGATGTAGAAGTTCGCAAACTGATAAACTGATAAAGAAAAAAAGACAAAAAGAAGCGCAAATTAAAATTACAGCCTTTCGTCTGATAGATAGGCTGGTTATATGCAACTAAATAGTGTAATTCTAGCTTCCCTTTTGATTCGTTTCTAAGGTAGAGAACACAATTTTATGTCCGATCACAATACTCTGGTAGGAAACAAAACTTTGCATAATGATATTTCATCATAAGCATGTGAAAGTCTGACTTTCTAATGTAAGGAAAGAGTTGAAACATGTGTGTGAATAATGAAGTTGTGCTTATTTTTTTTCCTTTTCAAGTGACCCAAAAACAACGCCTCTTCAAACATTGTCGAATGACCAGAATGCGTGTTCTCACTCGGCCCCGTCTAAGAGAACAAAATAAGTTACACATAGAGCTAGAGAAAGAGTAAACCTGTATTGGAAATCTGACGTCAGTTTTATAAGTTGAAATTTTGAAAACAATTTCACCTGTTTATCTGAGAGAAAGTTGAAAAGTATGGGCCGTCAAACCAGAATATAGGATATTCTAACTTGTGCTTGGGTGGATGAGAGAGAGAGATTGAGAGAGAGAGAGAGAGAGAGTTGAAGAGAGAGAGAGAGAAAGATGGAGAGAGAGGAGGGCAACAAAGGGGGGGGTGGGTGAACAGGGAGGGCAGTGGGCCAGAACAACCAAAATAAACGAACAGCTCTTCGTTGACGACCAGAGCTTCATACACCAAGACCTGGATAGCCTCCAAGAACATACCAGTAAATTGAACAAAGCGTTTGAGAGATATGGAAAGAAAATGAACGCAACTAAGACGACTGTAATGAAGATCTCCAGAAACCAAACCTTAAATATCCAAGTCAACAACAAACAACTGAAATCCAAAATACCTTGGAAGCATACTTATGTACATGGGACGGAAAAATGGACAGACACATTGAAACATGAGTACAAAAATCAAATGATGCTGTCATATACCAACCAGCACCCATCCTCTCCCTTCAGAAACCAAGAAACAACTCGAATTTTCAAACCAACTCTCTCCTTTCAGTACCAATTGACCATCAACAAAGTGCACCAAAGTAAATTAACAGCATGTAAAATGAAATAAACGTCTTCGAGAAGCGTTAAACATCATGAGAAGAGACAAACAAAGAGGGGAAGAGATCATACAACTGGTGGACGTCGAATAAAGGATGGAGTACATCCATGGACAACAAAAAAGTATTTGGAATACGTTGTGAGTATGTGGCCACAACAGTCATCATCAAAGGCCTACAACATGCCATTCAATGGCTCCAGGGCAAAAGGAAGGCCAAGAAAAAGACGGATCGATGAAGTCAAAGAGACGAGGCACAATATGACAATCCAAAGAGCAACACACCATGCCTTCGTCTAGCAATTGAATCTCCCCTCGACACCTTGGGGTAAAGGGGGATAGAATAAAAATATACAGTAAAGTAAGAAATAGTGGGACAGCTGTGATAGAGTTATTATATACTACATGAAATTAAATTAGAACTTGAAGATCTTGATTTTTCGAAGATCAAAGAAAGTGCATGACGTGACTATAATTAAGTGTCATCCTTATGAAGGGTGTTAGAACTATGGAACAGAAAGAGATGGAGTCCCGATGCTCCTTTTAAAATTAAAGTTTTACACCCAAATTGGCACAGTTAGATCATTTTTTCACGCGACAGGCGAGCTGCCTTACTCTAGCGATTCAGGGTCAGCCTGAATTGAGGAATGTATAATATATTATATCGCATCCCAGCAGATGGAAGTAGAGAATAAATTTACCAAATAAAATAACTTCCACACCCTGGAATCGAACTCTCGTCGTCTATCTTCAACTGCCATACTGTCATAACCTTTGATCGCTGATGCCGGTGGAACTACTCCTTAAAGAACCCTGTGATATTCAGCAGTGGAATGTCCAATTACCCTAATTAATTCATTTGCTCTGGATGGCTCCCTAGAATTACGACAATAAGATCTTGTTATCATAATGAGGCCATGACAATTTTCGAAGACCAGTATACTATACAAGCAGAAATATTTACTCCTTTTTGTCATGTTTGGCATAATTGCTTTTGTTTGAAAATTGCGAAGAGGAGACTTCGAGAATTGATTTAGTGATCTAGAAGAAAGAACTACTAAGGGGATTGGGGGGGCATGCTTTTTCCACCGCTTTTGTGATTACATTTATAAGAAAGGAGCAAATTCTACAAGCTTCAGCTTAAACGTAGTTAAGACAGACGCACGGGGAGAGAAAGAGAAAGAAAGAGAGAGAGAGAGAGAGAGAGAGAGAGAGAGAGAGAGAGAGAGAGAGAGAGAGAGAGGGAGACAGCATGACACGCAGACAGGCAGTCAGTCAGACAGGGATAAGGGTGAGGGGAAGAAATAAAGAGAATGCTAGAAAATATAAATACGTCCTCGAAGAGAGAGATACAGAGGAAGAAAGAGAGAGATAGAGAGAGGGGGGAGGGAGAGGGGAGGGAGAGGGGAGATAAAGGGAGAGAGAGAGGGAGAGAGAAAGATGGGGATACTGAGAGGGGGGAGAGACAGGGGGGAGGAGAGAGGGAGAGAAAGGAGAGACAAAGAGAGAGAGAGAGAGAGAGAGAGAGAGAGAGAGAGGGAGAGAGAGTGCGCGCGAGAGAGAGGCAGAGAGAAAGACAGAGCGAGTTCGATATCATACCCTGCTTCAATCTACAACATAAGACAGCGGGAAGACGTTGGAGAGAAAGACAGGCACACATATACTGACAGAGAGACAGACTAACAGGGAGACAAAAAGACAGACAAAGAAACAAATTCCCTGAAAGATTTCGTGATAGAGATAGGCAGGATAACGTATTGTAGGAAGGTGCAACTGATGACTTATGGGATAAGTGCAGACATTCCTGCTTTAATTGTTTTTCGTTTACGAGCGCGCGTGCGAACACCAGTCTTGTAATACTTAGGCATTGTGTGAGGGAATGAAATGCGAGGGACAAAAGTTAGAGAGGGGAGGGGTAGTTGAGAGACAGAAATGGAAATAGATAGATAGATAGATAG